GCAAAGGAGGTTGAGTTTTCAAGTATGGAAATACAAAGGAAGAAGAACAGTTGTAAGCAGACACTGGTGATTTGGACATGGAATGTGAGAACCATTAATGTAGGAAAATTAGATATTGTTAAGGAAGAAATGCATAAATATTGACATACTAGGCATTGGTAAGATGAGATGGACCGGCATGGGGCATTTTGAGTCGGATGACCATATGATATATTACTCTGGAGATATTCTATAAGACCATTATAATAAAAGGGTAAGGAAAAGTTTACATGCAGAATTATTCTTAGATGGTTATGGAGGAATGGAAAATGAAGGAGAGGGGAGTGAAAATGGTAGTTGTTGGTGCCGTTGAGCACGACTCGGAGCGACTCTGTGAACAGCAGAGCTGACCTTGTCCTACTCGGTGTCACCTTCATTGTCTCTGACACACATGAGCGCACTGCTGCAGTCACTGTGCCAATCCTTCTAGTTTACAGTCTTCCTCTCTTTTGCTGATATTCCACCTTTCTAAGTATTATGTCCCTCCTTCAAGAAAGAGCTTCTCCTAGCAACATGTCCAAAGTATGAGAGACAAAGCTTCACCATCTTTGCCTCCAAGGAGCACTCTGGCAGCTTTTACCAAGACTAAGCTGTTTGTTCTTCTCTCAGTCTATGGGATATTCAGTACTAATCTTCAGCACCATAACTGAAAGGCATCAAATTTTCTTCTATCATCCGTGTCCGCTGTCCAGTTCTCAGATGCACAGCAAGTCACTGAAAAGACCCTGGCCTCAATAGGTATACTTCAGTCTTCAAACTGACATCACTGCTCTTCAGTGTTTTGGAGAGGTCCCTGACAGCAGACTTGCCCAGTGCAATATACCTCCTGACTGCTGGTACAGGTGACTGTTGATCCAAGCAAGAGGAAATCACTGGTGTCAAACTTTCTGTAGTTATCATAAGTAACTAAATAACAGGCACATTTAAGTATGGGTTAAGGGAAGAGATACTGAAGAGCAATGCTGTCTCTCTGGAGACTAAGGTGCGTCTGATACAGGCTATGGTCTTTGCAATCACTTGTTATGCATCAGAGAGTTGGACAATGACTAGGGAGGATAGAAGAAGAATTGATGTCTGTGAGCTCTGGTTCTGGAGAAGAGTACTGAGGGTACCATGGACTGCCAAGAAAACAAACAAATTCATCCTAGAGAGGGTTAAACCAGGCTGCTCCTTGGAGGCAAGGATTCTGGGGCTTCGTCTGACATACTTTGGACATGTTGTAAGGAGAGACAGGTCCTTGGAGAGGGACATCATGCTTGGTAAGGTGGAGGGACAGCGCAGGAGGGGAAGACCGCCTCTTGCGGATTGATTCAGTGACTGGGGTAATTGGGATGGGTGTGTCAGAGGCAATGTGATTGGCACAGGATAGAGCAGGGTTTAGGGCTGTTGTACATAGGGTCGCTATGAGTCGCAAACGAATCGACGGCACATAACAACAAACAACAACAATTAGACATTTTATATTAGGTCCAAACCAGATTTGAGGTAACACCAAGCATTTATGCCTTTCCTATTTAAAGCCAAGACACTTTAATAAGAGTCCTCTGCTGAGGACTTCAAAACAAGGACTACAAGCAATGATTGTCACTTATGTCAGATGCTCACCATTAGACTTCTGAGCAACCCAACAAATTACAGTCAAAGCTGTTACCTTTTTATGCATTTCTCCACATTAGCAGGTGAGCTCTGGTGGGTTATCAGTAAGGAGCTGTACTGCCATCCCCAAAGGACATGGTTTAAATGCACCAGCTGCTCCATGGGAGAAAGATGGATAATTTCCTCCTGTGCAATTAAATGTCTCTGAAAAGCCACTGGAAGATCAGCTATGAATTGGCTCCAGCTTACAGTACACAACACTAACAACTACATTAACAATGCATGTAAGTCGCTACTGGGCAATAACTCACTGCCGTCAAGTCAGTTCACATGACCCTGCACTGGGCTTCCGAGGCTGGAAATTCTAATATAGAGAGGAGACTGCCCATCTTTCGTCTGGGGAGTCAAACCTTGGGAGAATATGCTCTTTACTCAGAAGCACAACTCACTATGAGCCACCAGAGCTCTCTAGCAGGCAACATGCCAAGAATATTGCTAAATTTGGTTTTCTTCCAAGCTAAAACTCTTTTAATTAACTTTTCCTGGAACTCTACTATTGTTAATTAACTTTTTATTGTGCTTTGAGTGAAAGTTTACAGAGTAAACTGGTTTTCCATTCAACAACTCATGCATTTCAGTTTCATGTAGCACCGGTTACAATTCTCACGGCACTCTACCGCTTTATGTTTTGTTACCATTTTTTCTTCTTTCTTATACCTTCTTGCCTTCTGAACTTTACACCTGACTGCTCTAAGGAGGGTGTTATTATCACCTTCCACATCCTGCCTGTTGTTTGGATTAAAGCAGCATCATGGGGATGTTTTTTTCAGTTCTAGACACGAAGTATATCTAAGGGCATAGTCTAGAGGGTTCTACGAGTATCTAGGAGACATATGTACAGGTATACTTTGTTTTTTAAGCAAACGGATATATATATAAGGCACTGAAAACCATCACTAGTAAACATAACTTGCTTTAGGGGGCTAAAGTCAGAAGAAGGTATCATATCCCTGTAGAAATCCAAATCTGCTACGGTTGAATCAACCTTGATGAACCCTGAGAACAAGAGTGAAGTCTGTACTCAAGCAAGCACGTCAAGAGAGAGCATAAGTCAGTCACCTCAGATCATGGCTCCGCTGCCCTCTCAGAGAGTGAATCCCAATGGACTTGACTAGTCTTCTAAAAGATTTAGAACTCAGGCCAGAAACAGAGTGCCCTTACTTCTACTAATTACATCTGGGTTTTTATACTTAGAACAACAGTAAAATAAAAGTGAAAAAAAGTGATTATTTGTTATAAAACATTGAAAGCAGGATAGAAATGTTATACATTTTCCTAGAGGACATAAATTATTTCTAAGGACTTTGTTGTTGCTGTTTTTAAAAAAAATACTCCCACCAAAAACACCTCCATCACATCCTACCCTTTATTAAAAACCATTTCAAACATCCACTATTTAACATGCTTATTTATCAAATATATTCAATTTATGCTCTTCCGAAAAATAAAACAACACAAAAAAGCCACTCTAGCATTTAGAAGAATGCCACTTTACTGACAAATGTTTACAAAAAGTAGAAAAGTAACACTAATGTTTTAAAATTGTTACTAGGTGCCACTGAGTCCAGTCTGATCCACAGAAATCCTACGTACAACTATGTACTTTTGGTTATCTTAAAACACTAAATAAGGTTGTTACTGTTCGTCGGGTACAGTTGAATGGGCTCCAATTCACAGTGAGCCGTGAGCAACAGAACAAACCCTCTTGATCCGGCCTCACCCTCCAATCTCTACAATGTGTGTAAAGCCCTCTGTTCCCTCCAGTCATCATACTTACCTAAAATTTGGCATAATCTTCCAAATAACATAAAATAAGGACTCTGGGCTAAATGCAGTCTGGCTGCCTTGCCACAGCGCACAGAGCGTCTTTCTAAACTCTTCCACCAGAGACCTGGAAAGAGGAAGGGAAAGATGATGCCCACAGTGAACCAAGAAGCTACAACTGCAATCCACAATCCTTGACTGTCTAAAAGGCACAGCACATGAATGAAAACAAAAAACACAAAAAGGACCTGGTATTTTTAAATTAAGTAAGAACATCTCAAAGACCCATACAAATGGCTGTAACTGCTGAGAAAACTAGTTGTTCTTTAACCACATGGTAAATTTTGAGAGCCACGTGCTGATATACTTACTAAATTAAAAAACAAGTGACAAGTTTTTTCCCAGCCCCTTTCTTCCTCACCCTTCACCTAGAGCACATTCCAGACCTCAGTCTATGACTGCCTGGCATCTCTGCCTTGGAAAGTTGGCTTACCACAAAAATTCAACACTCAAGTCTACAGGAAACACTCTCAACTCCAAATCTCAAGGCTAGCTTTTCTCATGGCCAATATATTCCAGCTTCTCCAATTTTTTTTTTTTTTTAGCTTCTCCAATTTTTAACAGGACTTTCCTACCAGCTGTCTTCTTGACACTCCAAGGTCAACGTGTAGTACTCAATATCTATTCTTTGTATGTCCCCACCCCTTCCCTACTGTCTTAAAATATGCATTTTCCTTTTCTACAGAACTAAAATTGTACTTTTTTCTTTCTGCTCTGAGCATGATCTAGAATAAAGAACTGTAAATGTGTCCAACTTCTGGGAAACTTCTTTAATGAGAAAGAATATTCTTCTTCATTAATCTCTTCCTTCTTGTCACTAGATGGACTTAAAAGCTCTAGTACCACTTGGGAGTACATGGCTGGGAGCCCCAGGCTAGAGTCTGTGAAACAAAGTTAGAAGGAACCTTATGACTTTGTAAGTTATCCATGACCAATGAATTCCAACTTTCACATGAAATTATAAATTGTTTCAAGGTCACTGTTTTGTTTAGGGTTTTCCCTCTTTCTTTCTACACAAACAGCAAAGGGGGTGGGTAAAGAACTGAATTGCTAGCTCAAAGGCAGATGGTTCAAACTGACCAGTAGCTCTGCAGGAGAAAGACGAACAATCTCCTGTGTGAGTGATGTATATAGCCTCTGAAAACCCATTGCAATGTCAGCCGTTCTCACACCATGGCACTAACACCACCACCACACAAGTCACTACGCTGATACATCTCCTTAATCTTAATTCTCCTATCTGTCAATACAATCCCCATACTCTCAGAGCTGGAGTGATTAACTCTAAGAATCTCAGTGTCTGCTTCCTAATCCTGTTAGCCAACAGGTTCTGGAGACACCAAATTTTTGACTGTCAAGTACATGAATGTTCTTCCCAGATTTGGGGAACTCCTCACCTAAAGTGACAACCAGAGATCACCGCCCACTACTCATCCCAAACCAAAACCACTGCCACTAACTTAAATTCTCATTCACAGCAACCAACCAACAGGTTTCTAAGATGGTAAATCTTAATGGGGGGGGATTTCTCCTGTGGAACAGCTGGTGGATTCGAACTGCCAACCTTTTGGTTAAGGGTACACACGACATCACCAGGGCTTATTTACAACTCCCACTACAGAAACTGAAAAAACCCCACTATTTGCTTTCTCAGCCTCCTTTACAGTTAGGACACAGCAGAGCTGCCTGAGGCTCTGTCCATCTGAAGATTAGGGACACACAGAAGCAGGGGCAGCACCGAGTCTCCTATGGCGGCAGCAGTGACAAAGGCGGCATCTACAGTCCAGGGGCAGCAGTCACAGTCGTACTAACCAGCACACTGTCCTATAACATTGTTCCTCTGTGGAAAGGCCGTGGCTACATGTAAGGCTGCTGATCAGACTCCATACTGGTTTTCTGCCCCTTCAGGAAGGGCTACATCACTGGCAGCCCATCCATTTTTCTGCCTGAACTGGCCCAGGACAATTTCTACAGTGTGTAACTTAAACCCGAAATGTTACTAACACATCAATTCTGCCTTTTTGTGCACATGGACTTTTTTCCTCTTCATTTCACTGTTAGCACTTCCACCCTGAGTACTGTGAAGTCTGAAACCACATGTTGCTACAGAGGAAACTCTCTTACAGCCTCACTTCCAGTGATGCCACCATTCTACCCCTGTTCCAACAATGACTTTAAAGTTCGGCAAATTTTGGTTCTTTCGTACTGTCCATTATTCCAATATATCCTGTCCCACTCTCTATCAGTCACCTATGCAGGGCTGTCTCAGATTCTAAGGCACCATTTCAGGACAGTGGGAAGGGGAGTGTGTACAGTGGAGATGCCCAGGAAAGGAAATGTATTACCTTCAATAGACACAGATTATAAATCAGAGCCCTATTTTCAGTAATGTTAGGATATGGGGGGGAAAACAATCTCCCTTACAATCACAAAATAGGAAAGATCTTCTCACTCTGAACATGATCTGGATGCACTGAATTTGAATTCTTGGCTGCTGCTTAATAATTATTTTTCTTTTTCTTTTTTTCCTATCAACTAAATATCAATTGCAAACCAAATTCAAATCCACTGCCACACGCTGATTCTGCCTATGGCAGCCCTCCACTGCATTTCCAAAGCTGTAATTTTTTATGGGAGGAAAGAGACTGTGAGCAGCAGGTGGATTCAAAAAGCCAATCTTTGGGTCAGCAGCCCAACAGATGATGCACTCTGCCACCAGAACTTTTTCAGAATTAAATGCATTTCCTTGTAATATTATATTACATATTATATAAATATTATAATTTGCTGGCTACACATTTATTTTATTATTCCAGATATGTTTATCTAGAAAATAACAGATATGTCAATTCATAGAGACAAATGACATTAATTTGGTTTTCCTGTAACTCAAATTCATATCTAGATGTTATCAATTTTAGATGCCTACATGTGCAAAGTTTCAGCATACAGAGTGCTAAATTTATTCTGCCTGTTATATATGTAAAAAAGAACTCCAACAATTTTTAAGATTGCTAGCTAGATGCTTAAGCATAGCCTTTAAGGAAAAAAGTAAAAATTCTATTTATGCCCCGTAACTCACATAATGCAATGAACATCATTCAAAGCCAAAAATAACATATTCTTATAACTCACACATTGTTATCTCCTTGGCTCCTGGTGTGGTATGTTCGCCTTCCTGCTGTTTTCCCATTCCTTAATTCCACAGCGGGCAGTTCTTTGAAATAACAGCAAAACTGCTCAATGTTACTATTTTAAAAGGAAGAAAATCATTGAAAGAATAATTTAACATGACAGTAAAGAAAGTTCTAGGAAACCTATTATAGATTTCAAAAATTTGATCACTCAACTGTCTTACTTAAACGACAATCCACAGAATCTCTTACACTGAATTTCTTGGTTACACTTTTTATAAACCCCAAGACAAATCATACAGAGTACCAACACTCTTCTAACAGAGTAAGATAACACATACGTTTTACAAAGAACACCTCGACCTTTACCTTCCTCCATCTCACCCTAACAGAAGTGCAGATTATCAAGGTGCTTGTTTCCAGACAGTAATTTCCTCAAATAAAGGGATCATAAAGCAAACCGTGTCATTTAAAGATACAGAGTAATGATTAGAAGGTAACAAACAGGAATTCCTTCTTTGGGTATGAATACATAAACCAAGAATCTGTGCTTTTCAGGAGAGAGAAAAAAATGGCTTCTGTGCCTTATTGGCAATGTGAACTGAGAAGGCAATTTATTTGGACCCTCCTTGCTTCACAACATTAAAAATCATTTCCTGTACTTAACTTAGGTCAGACTTATTGGCTAATTTACTTTGTGTATTTTTTTTACATTTTAATGATCATCTAAACTTGAGTAAGGTTTACTAGCTAATTCACTTTGTATATTTTTTTACATTTTATGGATTTCTAAACACCAAGTCTTAGAACCACATTTGAAAAACCCCCAAAATGCACAACTAAACTAACAATTGAAATAAGTTCTCTGAAAAGGGTTCCCTCTTGACCAGAGGCTCGCAAATTACAGCCAACAAACTAAATCTAGCCCAAACAAGGCCTGGGTTTTTTTGGGGACAGAATGCTAAGATCAGTTTTTAAAAAAGAAAGAAAATACATGACAGAAACTATATGTAGCCTACAAAATAAAAATATATGTTATTAAGCTTTTTACAGAAAAGGTTTCCTGACCCCAGTTTTAGTCTATTAAAAAAAAAAAAAAAACACAACAAAACCCAAATACAGAAAACAGCTATGATTTACTGCTAGGAATTGTCCTAAGCACTACATACTGGCTATAATATTTACTCTATCAAGCATGAATTATCATTCCTATTTTTACAGAGAAGGCACTAAAACATAGTGAAGTAAACTAGATAGCTCGACCAGCTGTAAGACTAGAATAAGTGGCAGAGTCAGGATGTGAACCCAGAGCCTCTGCTCTTAACCATTCTTCTAGAAACTATTATCAGATACTTAGGACATGGTACCTGAGGGACTGAAGGATGGCGTTCATGAAACACGTGTTCCCCAAATTACGTAGTCCTGTAGCACAAATGACAGTGGTGCTTCCCTGTTAAAATGGGGTGAGATGAAAGGGCATTAGCATTACCCAGAGAAAGACCTCTGTTTCAAAAAGCAAAGATTCCAATCACTTTGGCAACTGCCTCTATTTGAAAGTCTAGCAACAAGACTAATTTGGACTGACCTTTTTTGTGCAATGAATATTTCAAAGAAACACTATCTCATCTCTATTTAGGTATCTAGGTGATTTTTTTTTTTTAAAAAAAAAGGCGGCTATTCTGATCCTGGGGCTATTATTAAGGGAATATCTTATGGCATTTATGAGGCTATCAGAATTGGTAAGTATTAAGAGGCACACTGAAAAGAAAAACAAAAAACCTTTAAGAGAAATAAAATGTGCTCTCTCCAGGCGTCCTCATGAGAGTGACATCGTCTTTAAACCCTGCGTGGCAATCCCTGACGCACCGCAGTGATGCCAAGGGAAGACAGGGCGACCTGGAAGTCCAACTACTTCCTTAAGATCATTCAACTTCTGGATAATTATCCGAAATGTTTCATCGTGGGTGCAGACAATGTCGGCTCCAAGCAGATGCAGCAGATCCGCATGTCCCTCCGCGGGAAGGCTGTGGTTCTGATGGGCAAGAACACCATGATGCGCAAGGCCATCCGGGGCCACCTGGACATCAACCCGGCCTTGGAGAAGCTGCTGCCTCATATCCGGGGGAACGTGGGGTTTGTGTTCACCAAAGAGGATCTCACAGAGATCAGGGACATGCTGCTGGCCAACAAGGTGCCGGCTGCTGCCCGTGCTGGTGCCATTGCTCCTTGTGAGGTTACCGTGCCAGCCCAGAACACTGGTCTGGGCCCCGAGAAGACCTCCTTCTTCCAGGCTTTGGGCATCACCCACTAAGATCTCCAGAGGCACCACTGAAATTCTGAGTGATGTGCAGCTGATTAAGACTGGAGACAAGGTGGGAGCCAGCGAGGCCACCCTGCTGAACATGCTGAACATCTCTCCCTTCTCCTTCGGGCTGATCATCCAGCAGGTGTTTGACAACGGCAGCATCTACAATCCTGAAGTGCTTGACATCACAGAGGAGACCCTGCATACCCGCTTCCTGGAGGGTGTCCGCAATGTTGCCAGCGTCTGTCTGCAGATTGGTTACCCAACTGTGGCCTCAATACCACATTCCATCATCAATGGGTATAAGCGGGTCCTGGCTTTGTCTGTGGAGACTGACTACACCTTCCCATTGGCTGAAAAGGTCAAGGCATTCCTGGCTGATCCATCTGCATTTGTGACTGCTGCCCCTGCGGCCGCTGGCCACTACCGCAGCTGCTCCTGCTGCTGCGGCCCCAGCCAAGGTGGAAACAAAGGAAGAGTCGGAAGAGTCAGACGAGGATATGGGATTTGGTCTCTTTGACTAAAAACCAAAAACCCACCAACTCTGCCAGCTTTGTGTGAAACAAGGAAATAAAGGCTTCATTCTCTTAAAACAAGAAAAAAAAAAAAAGAAATAAAATGTAAAGTTTAAGCCTTTAAAATACTCTATTAAAATAAGTGCAAGTTGAAAATGTAAAATATATATCTTCTCAAGTATTTCTGCTCCCAAACTCTGTGTTCTATGTCATGCATAAATGGTCAATCCATGTTTTCCTGGAATTGGCATATAAACTTTAGAAAGCAATCTGAATATCTCTTAAAAGACTATGGCTCAGTTTTCTGATCAGCTCTACAACACACTGACATCTGACTACTTCTCTAGGAGATGAATTTACTGATTTACTCATATGTGGCTCTGTCTGTAGTTTAGATAGCCATGTGACCACTTTAGTCCTTTCTTCCACAAAATCCTATTATGTCTAAACACAGTTGACAGTAGAGGGATAGAAACAGGATAAATATGCAGGTTATCTGAAAATAGGTAGTTATCATTAACATTCTGCCAATCTATTAATGGCTGACACACTATTATATCAAATTCAGGTTACCAATGAGGAAGTGTTTGGTGGGTTGGTTTTTTTTTAAATTTTATTATTTTTGTGTGTGTGCACCGTCAAATCAGATCTGACTGGTACGGGAGGAGATTGTCCCTCCTTCCTCAGCAGAGCATTAATTAATTTTAATGTAAGTTTACAGAGACTTAGAGTTTCCAGTCATACACTGTTTCACTTTTCTCCCTGCCCATCCCTTCCCCCACCCAATTCACTCTTCTTGAAAAGTAAAACTCTTTCATTGTTATGCAATCCTTCCCCCCAGATCTACTCCACTGTGCAGTCTTCATTCTGAACTCCTGTCATGACAATAATACCTAATCATATATCCCTATTAAATAGTTCTCTCCCTCATCTGTTTCAATCCAATACATATCATTCCTCCCCTCCTTTTCTGTCTTCCCTCAACCCCGAAGTCAGTCCCATTTTACAACAGTGGCCCTATGCAATATTTGTCCTTTTGTGACTGAGATATTTCACTAGCATAATGTACTCTAGGGTCATCCATTTTGAATAATATTTCATGAGTTCCTTGTTTTTCAATGCTGCATAGTATTCCACTGTGTGAATATACTACAGCTTCTCTATCCATTTGTTCAGTGATGGGCACTTGGGTTGTTTCCAGCTCTTTGCTACTGTGAACAAAGCCATAATATACATGGGTGTGCATATATCTGCTTGGGTGGCAGTTATGGTTTCTTTCGGGTAAATTCCCAGTAGTTAGTGGAATTGCTGGGTCAAATGGTATTTCTACTTCCAATTTTTTGAGAAAGCAATATATTACCTTCCATAGTGGTTGTGAGGGAAGTATTTTTGTTTATGCTAAAATTGTATTCATGAAATTTTAAGAACTAAAATTTCACAACCACATTACTTGCAGTAGCAGCTTCTAACAGAAGGAAGCAAATCTTTGGGATCTTAAAGAAATGAAATCATAACGTACATGAGTAGGTATTTCAAGAGCAACGTGCTTTCTAAAGCAGAGGAGTACACCAGTAACCTCAACAAAAGCAAGACAGTGACAGATGTGCTCCTGGGATCCTCGGTCACATCAAGAGTCATTGGGATAAGAGGCAATCATTTTGGAAAACATTCCAAATTCAAGACATACATTTGTAAGTGTTAGAGTTGTATTAAAACAAAGTCTCAACTAATCAATATTTGAATACATTTTAATTACTTACATTTACTTTTAAGAGCTTGCTGTTTAGTGACGAGTTTTCCAAGATTTTTCTTTTTCTATGCCTATCAGCTGTGAAAGATGAGCTATTAAAACATAAGCATACAAACAGGTGGTCAAAAAGACATTATGATATACATGTTACACTGAAAGTCAAAGAATTAGCTGGAGATAGCTGCCTGGCCACTCTGGCAGCCATGAAGTGATCTATTAGGGCTCCACAAATGTTTAAAGAAACTAAGGAGTCCCCTTCCTTTGAACACCCTATCACTCCAAAATGATTCGATATTTCTTTTCTTCCCTTTCCTTGTAACCCTCCCCCTCAAACCTCCCTTGCAAATAAAGTGAGTTGCTCATAAGCTGGAGGACAATCACTGAAAGAAAACCAAAGGAACAAAACTCTCTTGGGACCCTGGATATGGCTTACGATAAATATTACATTAAATAAATGCAGAGCTGTGACCATTAAATAAAGTTCTAAATATCCAAAAGCAAGGTCTATTTTTATCAATATCACATCCAAATCAGGACATAAATAATTTACTGTGAATACAAATATATCACTGTGCACAGTGGAAAACAATTAAGGAGGTTCCTCAAACTACTAAACAGTTAAACCAATTTCACTCTTAGTTCACAAGAACTCTCACTTCTAAAGAGTTGAATGCAGAAACACAAAGGTACAGGTGTATCACCGCTCTCTGCAGCATATTACTCTGCTAGAAAAAAAGCAATGAAGTCCTGCTATCTGCTACCACAAGGACAGACCCTGAAAACATCCAAGTTGGCAAAATCATCAGTCCCAAAAGGACAAATATTGTATGACCCACTTACAAGAAATATCCAGAACAAGTAAATGTAGAGAGACTCAAATTTACTTGTGGCTACTAAGGTACTAAGGAAAGGGAAGGAGAATGATTGTCAAGAAGCACTAGTGTCTGCAACAAGGTCAATTTTGTTAATGCCACTGAACTTTTTCATGTAGAAAAATAGTAAATATTCTGTTATACACACACAGATATTCAAATTTATTATCCATGAGGCAGGGCTTTCTTTATCAATTATTATATTGATACAGATCTCCCCTCCCCCAATAAGAAAACAAAACTCTGGCCAAGGTAAGAATAAGGAAAGAGAATACTGATGACAAGAATAAGTAATCAGGGAGCTCTGGTGGCCTAGTGGCAAGACGCTGCACTGCAATCCCAGAGGTACGCAGTTCAAATCCACCAGATGCTCTGCTGGAGAAGGAGGGGGCAATCTCCTCCTGTACCAGTCAGATCTGATTTGACAGTACACGTAAAAATAACACAATAAAAATTAAAAAAAAGGAAAGAAAAAGAATAAGTAATTCATGTCCAAAGCATTCACAGAGAAAACCGTAAGTATGGAACTAAAAATTCCCACCTCAAAACTTTAAATCACCCTTCCACCCAACCCATTCCTTCTTTTATTGAAACCTTACTACTTACTTTTCCAAGTTCTGTAAGTGTTCTCTGACTTTCTGTACCAGTCCCAGCTTGGTGTCATTCACCACAAAATCATCACAACGATAACTGCAAGGAAAGTATTAATCAACATGTATAAAGAGCTTGAGGAAACCAGTCATGAACTCATTAATAGGCTGAGCTGCTGCCAAGACGATCGCAGGGCTCTTATTGTTGGAGAGGACTTGGGATCCTCAGAGGGATGTTTTTTAAGAACCTTTTAAAAAGTTACATAGGCAATAAATACCAGCTTCTTTTCACATTTTTATTCAAAAGCTTTTCCACTTTTGCTTCTAAAATGAAATAAACTGTTCATGTGTTCTATTCTTTTTAGTGAAACATGCCTAATTCACGGAAAAGAAGCAAAAGGCAATTATACTCATGTAACATTAAACCTAAAGCTTTAGGGCTATTGCCTGGAGAGGGACATGATACTTCAACGAGATGGGTTGACCCAGTCACCGCAGCAATGGGCTTGAGTGTGTCAGAGATGGTGAAGATGGTGCAGGAAAGGTCAGGGTTCAAATCTGTTGCTCATAGGATCACTATGAATCGTACTAGACTCGATGGCTCCTAACAACCACCACCACAAAGCTTTAGGATGATAAATGCCAAGAGAAATTAATGGTGTTTGGATGGATAAGAAATTTAAGATAATAAAAGGTAATTAATAATCTGAAGGACTATTTATACAATTAACAATTTATAGGAATATTAGCTGTGAAATATGGAAACTTAACGAGAAGCCTGCTGATGCATCTGAATTATAGTGCTGCTGAAGACTATATCATAAACTGCCAGAAGAATAAACTTATCTTAGGCAAATTTTAACAAAACAACTGAGGAGATAGGACCAAGACATTCTTGTCAATATGCAGTTCTGTATAAAGCTGTTTACTACAAGGACAGCAAATTTATGAAAACATTACTGCCTTCTAAGCAAGTAATACTTTGGAAAGCATAGCAATTAATAAAAGTCAGGTCATCTCTGTGTTGCTGTTGTTGTGTACCATCAAGTCAGAACTGACCCACAGCTGACCCTCCAGCACTAAAAATATTTCCTACATAGCTTAGACAATCATTCAAAAATGAAGAGTTGAGAATTCTTATTTACACATAATACAAGACTTGTCTTTTATTCATATTGGTTAAAATTTAAAGTGAATGCCTTTGCAAACATTAATTTTAAAATGTTTTAACTAATTGTTTAACATTCACCCCAATTCAAAGACCACTTAATGCATTCAATCACAATTTCTCTACTCTTTATTCCAAGTCCTCAGGGTCAAACCCTCACATTTCCACAAAGAGAAAAGGTAATCTTTTATATCATGGGTAGTTTCTCTATGATCTAAGTACAAGCAATAGCAGAAGAATCAAATCTTTATCACTTTTGTAATAAATATGTAACAGAATCAAACTGCTGAAAGAGTTTCAAGAGTTTCTTTACATCCTTTCAGTATTAATGTTAGGAGAGTAGAGACTATTTTATAAATTTAGGATTAATGCACTTGGTTCCTCCACGAATTTGGTTGTTCTCGTAATATGGGAGTTGGTGTCAATGAGTCACTTGCAATGTATAGCAACCCCTATGTACAGAGGCTCTGAACCCTTCTCTGTCCTGAGACAGTCTCACTAATTCCGACACACCAACCCCCATTGCCCCAGTCTCCCTCTCCTGAGCTGTTTGTCCACCCTTCCGAGCATGATGTCCTCCAAGGACCGATCTCTCCTGGCCATGTGCCCAAAGTAAGTGAGGCAGAGCTTCAAAATCCTAGCCTCCAAGGAGACTTGGTTTCACCCTCTCCAAGACAGATCTCTTTGTTTTCTTGGCAGTCCATGGTATGTTCAAGACTCTCCTCCAGCACCACAACTCGAAGACATCTATCCTTCTGTCATCCTTAGTCATTTTTAGTCACCTAAGATACTTACATTAAATGTGTAAGAAAAAATTTTATACCATTTTTAGAGGATTTGAGCTTTGAACTTTTGGGTACCTTGTATTCTCTTATAATTTTCATATGGAGGGATAAAAAATAAATTATGACAATTAAAAGAATCTTGCTTCTAAATTATGAAAAAAGATTTTTTTAAAGAGAGTGAAAGCTACTCAGCTGAGCCACCACTAAACACCAGATCTTTTAAATATCAAAAGTGAAATATCAAAACTGAAAGGTACTCTGTGAGCTACTACACAACACTAGACTTTTTAAATAATATCACAGAATACCAACAACAACAACAATTTAACGAAAATTTGAAAAATTGCAACTATCTTTCCTTTTAGTTTCAGGTATGTTTTATGAGATATTGCTGTGTTAATAATACTTAGGATACATTTTGTCTCAAATGAGTTCTAAAGTTGTTCATAAACAAACAACTTTGTCTATTTGTAATTTTAAAAAATAATGAATTGCATATTGTAGGTACTTCTCAATTGTTTACCTGTCATTTTCAATGATACATGGAAAAAAGGTTTCTATCAAGACAGTGGGGTCAGCTATGTTTTGGAATTATTTATCTCATTTGTGTCACTGTGTGAAAAAATTTGTGCTCAACTTCTGTTGAGGATATATGTAACTGTCAGTAAACATGCAAATGTTTGAATCAGCAACAGTTTATGAAACTGCTGAAAGAAATAAAAGGCAATGGATTTAACCATGTTCTTTGCCAACTTCATTGCCTGAATCATGGAATAGTATCAAAACTTTATTGTACTCCTAACTCCAATTCATAATTAGTTGTTAATATTTAATAATCAAAGAAAAGGTGGTAATATGATTTATCTTCTTTCACTTAGATCATACTGGATATGAAAAAGCTAAATTTAGGCAAGCTCTGGTGGCCTAGTGGCAGGAAACTGCACTGCAATCCCAGAGGTGCGCGGTTCAACTCCACCAGATGCTCTGCTGAAGAAGGAGGAACAATCACCTCCTATACCAGTCAGATCCAATTTGACGGTACACACATTTAAAAAAAAAAAGAAAAGCTAAATTTAAAGATCTAAAGAGACAAAAAAAGTTTCTGTAACTTAGCTAGACAAGTAAAAGTATTCACACTGTTGATGAAGCTTTTTAGAACATAAATAGTCATGATTTAATACAATTTTCACCATTAATCAATATGCAGATTATTTAAACTGTAGTAGACACTATTATGTAAACTGACAGCTAAGTCTTTAATGAACACTTTCTTATTATGAGCAAATTTGAGAGTTGCCTTTCAGTCTATGTAATACTTCTTTGAAACTGCTGTTAAAAATAGTGAGTTGTCACAAAAGCTAAGTGAATTGACTTAAATTGGACAGAAAGTTTTGAAGCTGGTATGAGTTTGCTTTGAAGTAAAATTCATCATTGTTAAAAAGATGAGCAACTTTTGTCAAATAGATACTAAAAGAAAAATAAGTATTTTGGTATTGATTCACTTATCAGAAACCTTTTACTGATGTTTAGAATAGTGCTAATCTACCTTCACTAATTTTTCTGACTCTAAATAGAGATTAAACGTCTGCTGAGAATTTAGCAACTGCATTGAGATGTAAAATTCGTACTGTATCTTTAAGACTTCATATAAAAAAGAATGAAAACCATCATTAGTAATTTTTATACTGATTACATGTTTAAGAGACAAATACTTTGGTTATATAAAGTAAAATATATTCTTAAAATTAATTTTACTTGGTTTTTTTTCTAAAATATAGCTCATAGAAAAATTTAAATTACAAATGTGGTTTGCATTATTTCTGTTTAATAACACTGCGTAGTGAGTAAAACCCTTACTGCTCTAAAATTCTTTACTACCACCACTAGTATCATTTAACAATAAAAGAAGAAGAGACCCACGTTACTACTGGGGAACTATTCTACACCACAGAAACCCTCTACCAACCTTCCAAGCTTGTGAATCTGAACAGAAGAGCCGTCCTTACCTTTCTCCTCTGGAGCACCTGGTGGGTTCAAAATGCCAACCTTTAATAGCACAACACTTAACCTACATGCCACCAGAGCTCTTCAGCAATATCAAAGGAGTAATAAATGTAACTTCATTGAATTTTAAGAATAAAATATTATTTGAGTTAGATTTGTTTTCACTGGTTTAAAAAAATCTTTAAAGGTTTCTGTTTCTCAAGGGTTTGTTTAGGACTTTTTCTTCTTTTAATCTTAAATATATTTTTATGATTGTTTTTAAAACAAACTGTTTATAGCTAATTTAAGATTTTAAAAGCAAAATAAGAAGACGCTTGAATATAAATGTGCATGTATAGATACTCAGTGCCTCTCACTGCAGTCAAGTCAGAACCATCCCAGAGCTGATCGTCCAGATGGTTTTCAGAAGCTATAAACCTCACAGGAGGTTTACTCATCTTTCTTCCATAGAGCAAGCTGGTGGATTCAAACCACCAGCCTTTGGGATGGCAGCTCAACTTCTTACCCATTAGGCTACCAGAGTTCTCTGTACTGTGTGTGCTCGCGCGTGTGTGTATGATAAACACATAGTGAGTACCACTCTATATGTTTCCTAAACATAATCAAGTATCTCACAGGATTCGTTTATACTTTGAAGGCTTAGGACTACAGTATTGAGACAACTCTGTCAACTGGTATAATACAGATCAGAAAGACAGTGCTCTAAATCCTAACTTGAGTACTATCTGGGGTCTTAAAACCCTGTAATCAGACACTTAAGATCCAACTCTTAGTCTCTACTTATCTAGAACAAAATACTTTATAAGGCTTTCACCTGAAATAATCTTTGACCTTGGAACCAAATCCACTACTGAAGTCATGTTTCACTCAACAATCAGTTAGCTCACAATATAAACACTATCATTGGTGAGTAACATGTTCCTTTAAATAATCATCTATTTGAGATTAAACAGTCAGTATTTAACAAAAGAGAAAAACGAGACAACTGGGTCAGAGGGAGGACAGAAAACTAGATTAATGGAGACTGAAGAACCAGGATGGAAACAGTAAAAATGTTAACAAATTGAGGAAAATGTAAACAATGTCATGGAACAACAGTTGTAGATATTAAGAAAGAACCAAATTTTCCGAGTAAGCTTCAAT